CCGCTCTCTGTTCGTCCTCAAACTATACCGTACTATGAGAGAACCAGATTGTAATACCATTTCAAAATGCCCCGCAAATGTTATGGATATTGAAACCATTCCTAGCGATCAACATGATATCTTTTAACGTATTTTATCCTCTCTCGTACACTTCGCGAGAAATACTTTTGATTAGGTGATTCATCCTAAGTATTTTCCTTTAGATAACTCATCTAAATCAATTTCTAAGCGAGTACGATTAATTTTAGAATTCTCTCGTGATAGACAATAAAAAATGTAGATGTATCTTGTTATAAATAACTCAATAAAATATTTTAAGGATATTGTTGATTATATAATCCTATACCTTTTCTGTCCTCGAATCTCTCTTATTTCGATATCCATTCGTCTCATTCGTGCCCCTATGATCTAGTGGTCTCTAGAAAACCGTTATTTATTCATGCAACTTCATCAAAACCCGCAGTGAACTGCACTGAACCGAATAAAAACAATAATAAAAAAATATTTTTTAAAAAGAAATAATAATTTTATTAAAAAACAAATTCGTGATTCGAATCAAATTTAATATCAAAACTAAATGGTTTCGAGTTTTTTTAAAAGAGAAATTACTGAACCCCTAAAATTAATATAACAGATCTGAATTCGAATTCGCTACATTGTCAAGATAATCGAAATCCAAAGTGACCAAGAAGTTGTAGTCAAAGGGAAGAAGAAAAGGAAGAGATCTACATCAACGAATGGAGTAGAAACAGAAACACTGTCAGAAAAAATTCTGTGTTCATTGCACATCATTTAAAGTTATCAAGGTTCCTACAGACGTGACTTGTGAGAGGTATACAAAATAGAAAGCAAGTAGCCATAAAGAAGGAAACCACACTGCAGATTCTGTGGAACCGGGAGCCAACCCCGAAACCATCCTCGAAATTCCCGATAAATCGGAACGAACAAAGTTCACATTGATCAATTTCGGATCTCGGGAAAAGGGAGGTCCTTCATCTGCAACTGCTTGTACATCCATTGCCAGTTTTCCGGGGTTACCTCTCCCCCGAGAGCACGTATTACAGACCCGCCGCTGCAAGATCCAACCTTGCAGCATTCTTCAAGGGACAAACCTTTTATCAATCCGTATAGAAACCCGCTCGCGAATAGGTCACCTGCTCCCGTTGCGTCGATGGCTTTCGTCTCTCCTATTGCCGGCACTCTTACCACCTGAAAAGTGCAACAAACGTTTTTTTTTGGGGCAAGAAGAATGATTCAGACATCTTTTTTGTTTGGTGGTAGTATCCTCAATTAATGTTAGCAGTAAAGAGACCCTCTAATCCAACCATCACATAAGTTTTTATGGCATAAGTTTCACGGATAATCTTAATTATCCATCGCTTACCTAAGTGTGACCAATTTGGTTAATAACCGTTAACTGAACCGATCCAAATCGAATCACACGTAACCGTACCAAACTGAATCCAATATGAAAACCAAATTGTTATTTTTTTAAGTGAACCTAAACCAAACTACATAAAAAATAACCAAGAAACCTGATTGTTTTTTAAGTGAGGATTTTTATCAATAGAACTAAATTCAAACAAAATCGAACCAAATCGAATTCAATATAAAAACCAAATGGTTGCAATTTTTCGAAAACCGAAATAACTGAGCTCAAATATAACCAAACTAAACCCGAACTGACCATCACTAGCGTGGGAAAATAGAGGTGAAACTCCGTGAAAGATGAAGCTAGTTGTAAAATGACAGTGTCTATTCTAAACCAACCTCTTTTCCATGTTTTGCAATGCATCCCTTCGATGCTAAGGTTACGACAGCCCATCTGCAATGTCTGCCCATAAACGCGAGGGCAGCTTCTGGATCGACATCTTGACCGCCCCTAATACCCGCAATTATGAAGTTAATATTTTTGACCTTGATAAAGGGTTATAGATGAATAAGAAAGCAGACTCGTAAAAATGTACTATGAAGATTGCGGGAGAAAAGCAGAAACATCACGTACCTTAGCAGCTCGGTTGCTTCGTCCTCATTCGCAAAACAGAGGTCTATGTTACCAGACTCCAGCAACTGCAGTAGTTCTGATCTATAATTCCGTACCATCTAATTGAATTTCAAACAATTAAAAATCAGATTCCTCATCCCACCAGCAAAATTTGGTTAGAAAATTTGCAGATTCAAAGAGAAAGGTTCTCTTTATACAACAGAACATAGAACATAGAAGCATAGCTCAAATGTCACTAAAGAAGCTGTAAGTGATGTCTGAGCAGAAGGAAGTGCAAAGGTTGTTCGAAAGGGTATACCTCGAAACTCGCTAAATCCAACGATACAGAAAGACCCTGTTGCTTGGCAATCTGAATAGCAGATTGAATAACTTCCAAATTAAGAATTGCATATCTTAACACCAACCACTGCAACATAGCAACATTACCAATATTCATCTGCACCAATACCCAGAAGACTGACAATAATGTTCTGCTTGCAAATAAAGTCGAGGGAGAAAGGTAACAAACTTAACCTTAGAGCCTACAAAATCTTCTTTGGTTAGCTCATCTGCCTGAAGGATAATGCCGGAAGGATATTAAGCCTTGATTTTTGTAAACTATACATAAGTCATTCAAGGCAACACATCAAACAGATAGGCACCTGAATCTTCACGGCACTTGATAGGCAGGGCCGCATTGTACGGTTGCCAGAGGCATCAACCAAGCAAACACACTACAGAAAACACCGCCATATAAGTGGAATGGAATCAAAGCATTCAAAAGATTAATCTTTTCCCATGTAATAATACCCCGAGAAGAAATTTCATTACCTGAGCCGTGGATCCCTTCTTCTTTCTCAATCTCGAGATATTCACCCCACTGAAACCCATGTTGCTTAAAAATGATTGACCCTCGTCATCGTCTCCAAAAGCTCCGATTATCCCCGTGGATACACCAAAACCGACACTTAGGCCACGAATTGTGTTGGCCACACTGCCTCCTGCCATTGTTTTGAGAGGAGGAGGAAGGCCAGGAGATTCAAGGATATGGGTCTTCACCTCTTTCAGTATATGCTCCAACTCATCCTTTTGGACCTAAAACTCCGGCATATGATATCAAAACTCAATGCCATTTCATAGTTTTTCACTATGTCATAAACCATCAATCACTTCAGTTCAGCTACTTACTTCAAGGACACGAAAAACAATTAAATGTCTTTTACTCTATGAGCTAGGTGAAGGGTCCAAAATGCAGAGAAATGCATGGTGAAAATTATCTCCTTATAACTCATACTTCCATTTATACGGGGATTTATTCTCGGATCTGAGTCTTAGGAACCCTCCTCTCTGCAAAACCTCGGCAATCACATATAAGAACGTAATAAAAGTGCTTCAAGATGTATAACATAGTCAATAATCCAATAGTGACCAAAGCAACTATTGTCAGAAAACAAGGAAGCAACCAAAGCGCCAAAATCCACCCTTTTAGCATCACCGAGTACAGGACTCCAACAGCTATGAAATATTCGAATTCCATCATCCAAAGCCCAAATCCCAGATGCATATGGAAGAAAAAGAGAACGATTAAAGATCCAATCATTTAGATGACGCATCGAAATTCGGACGTATCCGTCCAATTCAGCCACAACCCAGAAGAACCCAGATGAGAAAACGACAATTTACGCGGAGAGAACCCGATTCGCGCGAAAATTAAAGAAATTGAGACAAGAAAACCTACGGGAATTGAACCACCGCGGTCTCCGGGAAGTCGATCGAGCAATGACCAATCGACGGGAGCCACGTAATCCATTAGACCCGCAGGTTGGAGTCCGAGTACAAGAGGAGCTTCGAGGTCATTGGGCAAGGCCTCAGCTCCCATTCTCTCTCTCTCTCTGAATCTCCCTGTCTGTGTGAGAGGGAGTGTATGTAATTGCGTATCCAAGGCCTTGCCTGTTCTCTTCTCGAGAGGCTCTCTGTTTCGTCTCGCTTTATATGCAGAGGAAGATGGAGAACCTTGCGGCTCTCTACGCTCCAGCGTGCAGAAAGTACGTTTTTACGGATTTAGCCCTACGCTCAGGGGTGGCTAATTATTTACCGAATGGTCAAAAAATCGTAACCGAATGAAATTGAATAAAAAAAAGTTAATCGAAAAAGTCAGACAATTTTTTTATAAATTTTTTTTTAATAAAAAAATTAAATTGGAATCCAATAAATCCAAAATTAATATAAAAACCGAATATTTATCATTCTTATAATTCAAAATAATTATTCAAAATAATTGAACTCAGATATAACGGAATCAAAATCAAACCAAAACTTAACTACACTCCTAAAATACAAACTTTTTTAAGGAGAATCGGGTATGATATAAATTTTTTTAAATAAAAATACTAATTTTAAAATTTATAGATAAATATAAAAAAGGTTTAAACTCTTGAATATTTTCAATAATCAAATTAAATTTTATAAATTTTTAAATGACTCTTAAAAATCACCATATAATCATGATATTATATGGTGGTTTTTAAAAATTGTTTAAAATATGTTTTGACTTAAAAGTTAAAAAGAATTTATATATTTTTTAGAATTTTTATAATTCATGTTTTATTTGAATGTTTTATAAATTTTTATATTGATATGATATTTTTAATCAACTAACTCTTAATATACTTGTTTGAGTGTGGAAAGTCATTAGTATTTATTTAATTTAATGGCCATATTACATAAATTTATGCAACACATGTTTAATATTGTATGAGAAACTTTAAAAATAAAATATTTTTATAAAAGAAAATCGCATATAAATATCTTAATTTTTACAGAATTCTTAAATAAATACCTAAACTATAAAATTCTCAAATAAATATCTAACTTTTTTAAAACTTTCACATAAATATCTAAACTTTTAAAACTAAATCAAAATCTATTAACGATATTAAATTTATAATAAAACTCGTTGATAATTGATGATTTAGACATCAAGGAATATTGAACAATAGATAAATTTTTAAAAATTTAAGTATTTATATAGAATTTTTAAAAAGTTCAGAGATATTTATTTATTTGAGAATTTTATGATTTAGATATTTGTTTGACAATTTTATAGAATCAAATTGTCCTCATCTCCCTGGCCATATACAATAGCATTAATATATTTTAACAAATTATTTATTTAATCATTTTGCATAATGCATCCTACACACGCATATATGAAATCCATTTATCACTAAGCCGCACCTCGTGGGCGGCGATAAAGCTCAACCACAATCATTATTCCTTAAAACATTTGTTAAAACCTAGAATCGGATTTTTCTTTTAATAGGTAACGCAAATTATAATTACAATTATTTCCCCAAAATTCAGTGGACCTACAAATTTCAGGAAAGCTAACATTCGAGTCTGAACCCAACAGTTGGTGGTCCAATGGTTGAGAAGTGATAAAGTCATCCTTAAGGTCCTGGATTCGATTTCACTGGTGGAGAGTGATGTAATTTCTGGATCAAAAGAGTCCATATACAAAGGTTGATCCCTGACCTAGGGTGGATGTAGTCGGACCGAAAACCCGGGAAACCATCCTGATTATAAGAAGAAAAAAAAACATTCGAGCCTGATTAGCTTGTAGAATTCCCTGTTACATACATGTGTGATTCTAGATTCGGGTTTTTCTGATTGATAAAAGCTATTCCGCAATAAATCCGAATTCTGTGAAGTTCTTATTTTGGTTTCAGTTTATTTTCGAGTTTTTATTTGGAGTTTGCAATATTTTCTAAAGGGTTTTTACTTTTAGGCTACATGATTCAAGTTCTCATGTGATCAGTTCAAATTGGAAACTTTAATATTCGACGTATTTTTTGGTATGATCCTAGTAATAAAAATGCACATTTTTATATAAACGATCGTAAAAATTAGGAATCTGTTATTTAATGTCATATGTTAATTGATCATTCAACAATAGATGGTATTATCTATGTTGGGGTGGCATAATGGTAAAATAACATATAAAACATTCGATTCAAATTAAAACGTTGGTAGGGGTATTCATCCGAGACTTCTTAATTGGAAGATATAATTGAGTCAAAGAATTGGTGAAATTACTTTGTGTATAAAAAGGAAAAGAATTTCACAAAGAAAATGAATCCACTAATAGTTTGACAAACGAGATACGAATCTTAATAAAGGGACAACATATTTGATTAGAAAAAGATGCGGAATTTACGGGGCGAAAGCCAAAAAAATTATATTTGGCCGTCTTCTAATGAACCCACTAATAATTGCAATAATAACTAATATTTTTATATCTATATTTACGGCTTCTTACTATTGTAATACGATGTCGGACCAATGACAATTCATGCTTGCGTAGGGTTTACACCCTCGACGGTCATGAATCACGCGGATTAGATTCGTCCCGAAGTTTCCATATCTTAGCATGCACATGCATGCCTCTACGTTGTCGGCCGATGATCTTGAAACGAATCAGATTCTTTATAGGCATATATATATGGTTGTCATGTTATTTTACATATCTCTTATCGGATTTGTCCAATTTCATACAAATTCTCGACCTCAATAACTATGAGAATATACAATCAAATCATGTGAGCAATGTACCATTAGAAAGATAATTTCGGTATCTATGAAATGATAGTACGGACGTACAATTTCGACTAAAGGTATAAAAAGTTATGAACGAAATAATATCACTATGTTACTGTAAATACATCTTACGGAAAGGTTCTATCTGTGCTCCCGTGGTTATTAGGAGGTGATTTTAGTGTGATCACAATGCCTTGGAAAACACTCATCTCTGCCCTTTACCCACCAAACGTCAGCCATGGCCCGTTTCAGTGACCTCATCCCATTCACTTCTAGGATAAATCTAAATGTAATAGTTAGAGACAAAATATGTTTTCTCACGAGCATTTTTGGAACTTTTTCTTTCTCGTTCTTACATCTTCGACACCGACAATAAAACTTTCCTATCTAAACGAATATATGTTGATTTGTTGCAAACTCCATAAAATTAGTCAATCTCTCTTCGTAACGCGGAGACACATTACCCGTAGAAGAATCAATTCGTTTGTACATCTATCTTCTTGAATAATATATATAGTTATTAATCGAAAACGTTTTTTTTTTCATGCAAGACTTTTGTTGAAGAATGGGCATATACAGGAAATATGTGATGCGATTTAGTCACTACTATTATCACTAGTGACGCAATTTCATCATTATAGGAAATAGTGATGCAGTTGTATCGCCAAGCATAAGTGACGATATTACATCACTATTTTGTCACCATTTAGTGACATTATAGTGTCTTTACTCTACATCACTCTTTACGTCACTAAATCGATATCATTGCGTCACCGTTTTAATTATGCAAATTTTGCCTCACTATTTGCATTACCTTTAACTCTGCCTGGACATGGGTTATCTCGTGTCTTGCCGATCCCAAACCCGGATAAAGGAGGAGGGTTTTGCGGTAGGTGGTAACCAGCAAACTCAAAACTATGTCATATCTCATATGCAATGAATCCAAATCATATGAACGTTGGAGCGTCCTCTACTTACGATGCGCTGAATCGGAGCCCGGGTGTAGTGAAAAATAGGCAAGGGTGTAAGGCGTCCCCGAATGCGACACGTCATATTAGCGCCCGGATGTGGTGCTAAATAGGTAAGGGTTCCCACATCGTGGACAAATGTGGGTAAAGAAGTTAGTCCAGAGTGTCGATATTACTAAAAGTCAAAGTAGGGGAAGTAATAGGTAGACTTATAGGAAGGAAGGTAAGAAAGTCTCGGTGGAACGAAAATTTAGGGTAGGTACTTGGAATATCGGATCGCTTACGGGAAAGTTGATGGAACTTGTGGACACAATGAGTAGAAGGAGAGTGAACATTGCTTGCATCCAGGAGACAAAGTGGGTAGGAGAGAAAAGTAAGGAGATTGGTAATATGGGTTTTAGATTATGGTATTCGGGTCAAGAACGAAATAGAAATGGGGTGGACATTATCTTAGATAGGTCTTTGAAGGAGTCGGTGGTTACAGTAAAACGAGTAGGCAATAGGATCATACTAGTGAAATTAGTTGTAGAAGGAGAAGCTATCAATGTGATTAGCGCTTATGCCTCGCAAATAGGATTAGATAGCGAATGTAAGGAGAAGTTTTGGGAGGACATGGATAAACTTATGCAAAGTGTATCACCCGAAGAGTCTATTTTTATTGGTGGAGATTTAAATGGACATGTCGGAAAGGATCGACAAAGATATGAAATAGTACATGGAGGGTTTCGCTATGGGAGTAGGAACGAAGAAGGAAAGAGTATCTTAGATTTTGCCATGACGTATGATCTCATATTGGCGAATACCCACTTTCAGAAGAGAGAATCACATTTAGTGACCTTTAAAAGTGGACAAAATCGTAGCCAAAACGACTTTCTTCTTACAAGAAAGTCGAATCGTACCCTCCATAAGGATTGCAAAGTTAACCCGGGTGAAGCTCTGACTAGTCAATATAGGTTGCTAGTGTTTGATGTGAAAATCAAGAGAAAGACATCTCACCCAAGAAAAAGAGATACACCAAGAATTAGGTGGTGGGATTTAAAAGGTAAAAAATGTGAGATATTCGAGAAGGAGATGCTAAAATTGAATGTATGGAGAGAAGATAAAGAAACAAATGAAATGTGGTTAGATATGTCGTCTAGTATTAAGCGTATTGCTAGAGAGGTAGTTAGGGAATCAAAAGGGTATGGACCACCAACAAAGGAAAAAGATGAATAATGATAATAGTACATGATTACGATTTATGAAACTTAATAAATTGATATTATTTATAATTTTTTTATTATTAATATTAATATTTATGATGAATATAATACATTTACCTCTTTCCACTCGATGGATTCATAAAATATTTATTATTACTATTAATAATGAATAGAATATGTTTATAATTGATATTAATAGTAGGGGTGGGCAAAATATCCGAAAAATCCGAACCGATC